CGGAACCAGCGCTCAGTAACAGAAGCTAAAAACAGCCTCGGTGTTTCGGGATGCTCCAAATACACTGCACCATTAGCTTGACTGGCAGGCAGTTCTTTAGCCCTCAGTGTCAGGGTTTGGATCCGGTCTCCTCCCCGGTGATTTACTACTATTTTGGATGGTAACACATTTTAGTGGGCGTGTGCGTGTGAACAGCTGGGACCATTATAGACCGCCGCTGATGAGAGGACAGGCCTGCAGTGTTCATAGCCAAATTAAAGACACAGAAAACATTTGCAATGATCATTGATTCTAATTCTGAATCCATTTCCAGTCCTCATTTATTCATTTTTCAGTCAGATGAATCATTTAGAGTAGATCGTCAGCTTTCAGATGAGATGTCAGGTATGATGTGATCATTTCATTTGCAGTCCGGTTGATGTTTATTATGGCTTTTCAATATGCAGATTAATATTGGCTGGGAAAAGCCCCCAAATGAGGATAATTCAAAGATATTGTATATGTGATTGTGGTATACAGACATTAAAATACTTATTTTGTTGTATTTTTTATCATTGATCATTTGACTGTTTTTTTTCTGTTTGTTTCCCGTCCAAATATGGGTCAGGGAGGCAAAAGTAGTCCAACTGTTTAATTAATTAATCTGTGTGTGTTTGTTAATATACAAAGCTAAATGTTAATATTCTCACCCGTATATAAAATGTTACAAAGTTTTCAATTTCCTTTCCACAAAATATTAAACAGCAGAAATGTTTTTATCATTGATAATAATAATCAGGAATGTTTCTTGATCCTCATATCAGAGTGATTTCTGAAGGATCATGTGACATCAGTTTTGATCACAGGAGTAAATTACATTTTAATATACACTCACCTAAAGGATTATTAGGAACACCATACTAATACTGTGTTTGACCCCCTTTGGCCTTCAGAACTGCCTTAATTCTACGTGGCATTGATTCAACAAGGTGCTGAAAGCATTCTTTAGAAATGTTGGCCCATATTGATAGGATAGCATCTTGCAGTTGATGGAGATTTGTGGGATGCACATCCAGGGCACGAAGCTCCCGTTCCACCACATCCCAAAGATGCTCTATTGGGTTGAGATCTGGTGACTGTGGGGGCCATTTTAGTACAGTGAACTCATTGTCATGTTCAAGAAACCAATTTGAAATGATTCGAGCTTTGTGACATGGTGCATTATCCTGCTGGAAGTAGCCATCAGAGGATGGGTACATGGTGGCCATAAAGGGATGGACATGGTCAGAAACAATGCTCAGGTAGGCCGTGGCATTTAAACGATGCCCAATTGGCACTAAGGGGCCTAAAGTGTGCCAAGAAAACATCCCCCACACCATTACACCACCACCACCAGCCTGCACAGTGGTAACAAGGCATGATGGATCCATGTTCTCATTCTGTTTACGCCAAATTCTGACTCTAACATCTGAATGTCTCAACAGAAATCGAGACTCATCAGACCAGGCAACATTTTTCCAGTCTTCAACTGTCCAATTTTGGTGAGCTCTTGCAAATTGTAGCCTCTTTTTCCTATTTGTAGTGGAGATGAGTGGTACCCGGTGGGGTCTTCTGCTGTTGTAGCCCATCCGCCTCAAGGTTGTGCGTGTTGTGGCTTCACAAATGCTTTGCTGCATACCTCGGTTGTAACGAGTGGTTATTTCAGTCAAAGTTGCTCTTCTATCAGCTTGAATCAGTCGGCCCATTCTCCTCTGACCTCTAGCATCAACAAGGCATTTTCGCCCACAGGACTGCCGCATACTGGATGTTTTTCCCTTTTCACACCATTCTTTGTAAACCCTAGAAATGGTTGTGCGTGAAAATCCCAGTAACTGAGCAGATTGTAAAATACTCGGACCGGCCCGTCTGGCACCAACAACCATGCCACGCTCAAAATTGCTTAAATCACCTTTCTTTCCCATTCTGACATTCAGTTTGGAGTTCAGGAGATTGTCTTGGCCAGGACCACACCCCTAAATGCATTGAAGCAACTGCCATGTGATTGGTTGATTAGATAATTACATTAATGAGAAATTGAACAGGTGTTCCTAATAATCCTTTAGGTTAGTGTATATTACAATAGAAAAGTTATATTTTAGTGAATATCATTTCACAATTTTACAGTTTTATTGCAGTTTTGATCAATTAAATGTGGCCTTTGTGATCATAAGAGACTTATTTAAAAATTATTTTAAATCTTTCTAACCATATTCTCTTTAAATATATTAGGGCTGTCAAGCGATTACATTTTTTTATCGAATTAATTATGCAAATTTAGCTGAGAAATTACCCCAAAAGATAATATAAGCTATAATCTCAAACATAAAAAACAAAAATAAAAATATTATGAATATATATTTTTTAATCTATTAAATATTAGGATGTGGTATAACAACTTATATCCGCAGTTAAAGTGAATCCCACAAGTTTCAAGTCTGAGGATTATATATCTTTACTTTATATTATATATCAGCATTTTGTAGACCTTGTCATGTGAGTTTTTAGAAAAGGCTGATAAGATGCTAATAAAATGCCCTGTAAACACCCATTTGCAGTCTATGATCTGTTCTATTGTTCTCAGTCGACGAACCTTTCACACACTGCCACTTACTCTTCCACTTAAACCACTTAATCTTCATTATTCTTTTAGCGTTATTCTTTTGTCTGTATTCAGCCATTATTAGCCTTTATTCTGGCATCATGCTTGCCCATCATCACCACTTTCATCCCACTATACATTAATCCACATATTACCTGAAGTCTTTCTAGAAAACAAACAAAAAAGTATATTCTTGGGACCTTATGTGAATTCTTTAAACAAATGAGATATGAAATAGAGCAGCTCCTGGCGCGACGGGTGCTTTAGAGCTACAAAATACCATTTTTAAATATTAACATTACACTTTTACTCAAAACTCACTTTAAACCACCACTGAATGTTTGTATTAACTTCCGATTACGATCTAATGTGGATTTTAGTCATATAATGATGTTGAAATATGTTATATTTAGCATTTTACATTCAGCTTATGCAGTTTATTAGCTTATCGTTTAATGTGTAGAAATGTTTCTTTGGGTTCAGAAGTGTATAGGACACAAATAAACTGGAGCAGGCGGTTTATGAATTCATATGCGTGTTGATATTCTTTTCAAAATATCAAACATTACAGATTGATTCTTTTGCACTCCTGACGTAAATTAAGAAATGAATGTCACTGCAACCTAGTTTTATCATAAATCGTGGTCAAATATCAAAGCTGGAGTCTTTAGTCTCTTTAATGATACTGAGTTTTTCCCGTATCAAATAAAATTAATCAAATAGACATTACAAAAAGTAGCTTTAGAAAGAAATATTATATTTGATTCAACATAGAATTTATTACACAAACTTTTAGGCCACAATGGCCATGAGGGTGAGTAAACTATGACAGAATTTTCATATTTTTTTTCAACTTTACCTTTAATGGGTTATTTTTGTTTGTTTTTTGCGCACAAAAACTATTCTCGTCGCTTGATAAACTTAAGGTTGAGCCACTGTTGTCACTCGGACTATTTTAACGATGTCTTTAATAACTTTTGGGCCGGCCAGTTTCGATCCCTTAAGAAGCCTATGGAGGAGTGATCCAGCTCTCAGATTTAATCAGAAATATCTTAATTTGTGTCCTGAAGATGAACGAAAGTCTTACGGGGTCGGAACAACATGAGGGAGAGTAATTACTGACAGAGTTTTCATTTTTGGGTGAACTAACCCTTTAACTTTATTATTTATTAAACTGTTGTATAAAATCAGTATCTTGCTATTCGGAACAAAAACAGCACTTGTGTGATATTGCTTAACTTGCCTATATCATATGATATAAATATGAGAAAAGCTCATACAGATGCATATTTGCCCCGATATCTTGAATTGTAGGTGCATATAACTGCATTATAGGCTCTGTCATGCAGTGAGGTGTTGCCCCGCATAATGTGCGTCACCAATCAGCCGTATGAAATGTGAGATGACCTACACTACCGTTCAAAAGTTTGGGGTCAGTGAGAATTTTATTTTTATTTTTTGGAGGAAAGAAATCAATACTTTTATTTATCAAGGACAGTAAAGACATTGATAATGTTACAAAAGATTCTATTTCAAACAAATGCTGTTCTTTTGAACTTCCTATTCATCAAAGAATCCAAAAAAAAAAAAAAAAAACTGTACAACTGACAGACCAACAACTGTTTCAACATTGATAATAATAATAAATGTTTCTTGAGCATCAAATCCTCATATTATACTGATTTGTGAAGGATCATTTGACACTGAAGACACTGACACTGGTGATGCTGAAAATTCAGCTTTGATCACAGGAATAAATTACACTTTACTATATATTCACACAGAAAACAGCTGGAATAATATTTAATACTATAACTGATTTTTTTTGTATTTTTAATCAAATAAGCGCAGCCATGGTTAGCAGAAGAGAATTCTTTTAAAAGTATTTAAAATCGTACCGACCCCAAACTTTTGAACGGTAGTGTACATAGGTCTGGAGCACGCGTTAAATGCGTTAATCATTTTCACACGTTATTTTTTTCATAACTAATTAATTAAATAAACGCGTTAAATCGACATTTATTTATATGCTGTCATTCAGTGCATTCATTTCAGTGACTCGATCAGGCCAGTGCTACATTTACCATCATCCCATTCAAAGTCATTTTCGATGTTGATGTTAAAACCCTTGTCCTCAAAAACACTCATTCCCCCTCATATCATAAAGCCCTCGGCGTCTCTATTTGGGAACCTAATCCCGACTGTGAAGGTCTTCCGGGCACTTATTATGAAGCCCGGATAATTAAATGGCAGTATCGAAGGACATCCTCCATAGCAGAGCTGCTATTATTTCCCAGAGTTACGCTGTCTTTGGGAATATCACAGCGCTTGCTTGTCCGGATGTGAAATTTAATTTAGCTCTTTATTTTGTCTGTTTTTCCAGGCTGATCCCGCAGATGGTGGGTCTCCTGTACGTGGGGAGCTATGACATGCCCTTTGCACAAATGAAGGTGAGAGAAACCTTGTTTGCTTCTTTGATAACTCCTTCTCTCCCCACCGCAAGTACAGGCGCTGCTAAAGATAGTCGTGTCATTTTCAAGTGTTCTTAACATGATGTGCTTTTAATAAATTGGGTCAGACAGGTGAACATTGTGTCACACACACACGAGGTCTTTACCGAAACACTGATCCGCTTACTCAGAGTGCAGCTCGAGATGTCATCGGGGCGCTCTGTGCGGGAACACTTCTGAAAAGTAGGCCTCAAACGTCTGCCGCCTTTAACCACAACCTAAGATGCATCACATATATCCTTAGTGGAGCTGGTGATCCCAGAATGCACTGCGGCAAGCTCAGTAAAAGATGGAACATATTGTACAGAAACGTTGGTTCACCCAAAAATGGAAATTTCAGACTCGTAAGACTGGTTAATCTTCGAAACACAAATGAAGGTCTTTTTAATTAAACCTGAGAGGTTTCTGCCCCTCATTGAAAGTCAAGTTAACCAAAACTTAGAAGATCCAAAGAAAATTATATAAAGGTGTCATGTCATGTTTACTCCATGTCTTGTGACGAGATTGACAGATTTAATTTAGTCTTTTATTCACATCTTAACAAGGATACATAGTGCTCATCAAATCTGTAAACGTGGAGACTTATGCGTGTCGCTCCAGAACAAACCTCACTGGTTCTTGCGCATCACAAGACTGATTAAACCACTTCATTTATTATTGACTCATTTTGTGACATCTTTATGACCTTTTTGGATCGTCTAAGTTTTGGTTACCTGGACTATCAAATGGAGTGACAGAAACATTTCAGCTTTAATTGAAAAGACCTTCGTTTGTGTTTCTAAAGTCTTATGGGTTTGGAATGACTTAAGGGTGAGTAAAGGATTTTCAGAGTTTGGGTAAACTAACGCTTTAAGCCTCATGAAAGTGTCTATAAACAAGCTCTTAAGCCGTTAGCTACTGGGAACACTTCATTAAATTAGCTGATCCAGTGATGTTTTTAAGATTTTTGATCAACCCGTATTCAAGGAGTACATTAAGAGAGCGGGTGAAGAAGTACTTTCAGAGGATTCAAAATATCTTATATATCATTGTGGTTTCTCTAGAAATTAGAAAAATTGGTTGTTGTCAAATCAAAAATGTAACATTTATAGGGATTTTAGTGTAATAGTTTTGTATTTGTATAATGCAATCTTTTTGCATTAAAGGATTAGTTCACCTCAAAATGAAAATTTCCTGATAATTGACTCACCCCAATGCCATCCAAGATATCCATGTCTTTCTTTCCTTAGTGGAAGAGAAAATACGTTTTTTGGAAAATGAGCGATGGTTTGGCTAGATAAGACCCTCTTCCTCAGCTGATCGTGCACAGCCGGTTGAAGCTCTTCATAGCCCTTTGAAACTGCACTGATTTGGACTTCAAAACGTTGTTTGCCATTGAAGTCCATTATTCGAAGAAAAATCCAGAAATGTTTTCCTCAAAAAACGTATTTTCTATTCCACTAAGGAACGAAAGACATGGATATCTTGGATGGCATTCGGGTGAGTCAATTATCAGGAAATTTTCAATTTGAGGTGAACTAATCCTTTAACCTGCCCAAGGACTACAGACGAACAGTAGCCATCCTGGCTAAATTTGACACATTTTACTGTATTTTCCATGAATAATAATAAAAAGGAGAGAGAGGGATGGAAGATGAAGTGAGAGAAGCACTGATTATAAAAGCATTCATTTAGTGTAGAAACAATCAAGGATTGTTTCACCTGATGGTTATGGTTATAGTTGTTAAATTACAGAGTTAACAACATGCTAATGCCAACTCTATTGGAATCAGTTGTGAGTTGATTCTCCCATAAACTTTAACTTAACATAAAGACCATTGTTTTGTCAGATGTCTATGTTCACAAATCTCAAGTGTTTGTCTCAATCCAAGTCTAGTTTCTTTTTTGAAAATAGTTTATTATTTTCTTCACCTGGCAAGAAACCCATTAAAAAACATTTAGGCTTTTTTTTTCTTTTTTCTAAAATGCACACTTAATAGTAAATGAATGGTTAACTATGGTAACTGGTATTTGTTCATTCATAACTGATTTGTTTCCTTCTCTCTGAACCACGTACGAGGAGCTGCTGACTGTGTCTCTACCTTCCTTTAACATTCATGTCATTTCATATTTTATTTCGCGCGTGTAAACGTGACCACTACTTCTATTAGTCGTGGCTGGCTACATTGTCCACTGATCCTGACGAATAATTGTTTCACAGTTTGAGTGAAATAATCACGCAAAAAGAAAACCACACAGTAACAGCAAGTATATTTTTCCTTGTGAGCTGTGGGTAAAGAGACTCTGCAGAAGAAATGATGATGAGCAGAGTAGACCACGGTATCTCAGTTAGCACGTAGCATCCTTAACATTCAACACACACTATAGCCCTGTGCTGCCTGTTTCTCACGGGGTCGTATAGTATTTTCAACATTTACAGGGGCTAGTCTGTGATATCATTGCCGTCCGAAACCAGAATATCAGTGTTTTTCTCCCACCGCCTGCGCAAAACTCCCCGGCCGAATTACCTACTGGTTATTTGACAAAACCAAGGTTGTGTTGTGATTTAATTGCTGTCTGAATCTCTGAGTTTACAAGAAGAGATCAAGCTGTTTAAATCCTTTGTGCCACTGCTGACCACCGTACGATAACGGTTGCGCTTCACTGTAATTTGGATGCATTTCAAGTATCAAGCCTACACTTTAATTACTGAAATCCAAGAAAGTATTTGCAAGAAGAATATTTCATCACCGCTCAAAGGAGCATGTAAACATTTGAAATGGGCCATTATTATAGCAGCAATTATATACATTAAAAATATAAACCAATATTTGTAAATAAGAGGCTGTTTTAACTTCATTTCCACTAATATCCTCATTTATTTTGAGATAAAATACAAGACTTGTATATAAAACTTGCTCCTGCATCGTGGATCTGAATGAATGAGTTTTATAACTGAGGCGAATTGCTCATTTATTTTTACGGACGTCCACATGAGAAACAATTGCCGTCTGAATAGGGCTTTAGACTGACATTCAACAATCAATTTTTAAGGATAGAGCTGCAGCCAACAGCACATGGTTTACTCTTGCCGCGGTGCATGCTGGGAACAGTCCTGTTTAACACCTGGTAAAGTGATCTTATTTGTGCTGTTATTGTAGCCTACGATTAATTGTGCAGCTGTACATTGTGCTGTATAATACAAGCAAATGTCGTTTATAAATGCTAAAGAAATATTCATTGTATTCGAATCTCACTCAATAATGAAATCTGAGAGGAGGCAGAGAATAGAGGTCCACTTTATTTCAGCGAGGTCCTCCCTGGTGGGGACTTCTGGCCTCGCCACTGAAACGGACGCATTATCATGCATGAAAAAAGTGCACAAAAGACTCCTTATCCGAGCTGTGGCACCCAGTTTCAAGAAAATAGCCATTTCTCCTTGTTATATATAGAGTTTTGTTCATGAGTCCAAGTCAAGTCTGATGTAGAGCATCCCAAATAATTTGATTTCCACAAGACTGAGCACATCTGAACTGGAGTCGCAGTTGCGTCTCTAATGGACCTGCTATTTAAAGAGATCGTTTTAACAATCTCGTCACAGTTATTGGTTCTCTTAAAAAGGGGTATATGAACCATGTCAAAATGCTTGACTCATGAATATGAATTATGTGATAGTCACACCTGATTGGTTGGTGAATAGGCAGGAGTCGTAGTATTTGCATGTTGTCGACGCAACCGTGTTTTGTTTGCACTCTTAAAATGTAATGATGGTTTGCCAAAATGTGGTCAGAGGAGCTGTGATGCCCCCGACTGTTACTTTCATTAAATTAATTTACTTTTTTATTGTCGGCTTTAGCTGTAATGGAGTGGATTTGGCTGCTTTCGGCACCGTGTGGTGTTTGTAAATGCCTGCCAGGACTTCAAGAGGGTGACCGGGGTGTCATGATGGTCCCATCCAAAACTAACGGGAGCATCATGTTCTGTGCCAGACGAAAGCCGAACAACATCTCTGGATCTCCGCCACCGCTGTGCGTGTGTAGTTGTGTGGTGTGTGAAAGCGTGCACTGAATCTTTGGCCAGACGCCTCTCTCATATTTGGCTCTGTGAAGCCAAGCCGGAGACTGTTAAGTTGCCCGTGTTTGCGTTCTCTCAGCGGCGGCAAGGCAGGACGTGTCTGATGCGAGAATAGGTACCGTACAACCAAAGGTTAATTGATCTTTGAATATTGTTGTGTGTGAATGTCAGTCCTGCAATCTTCAGCTCCCCCTCTGTGCTCACAGATGCCCTTCACTGTTGGATGCTGAGGATATTTACTCATCCCATCATGCCAACAGGCCCAGAAGGGGGCGGCTTTACTGCCAGCTCACGTCCTCCTCCACACACCAACCTGCCACGCTTTACTGAGGATCGAGTCTCTTTATCTTTCAGATATTCCTTTCTCTCACTTACTTGGGCCAAACACGCTCCTGTTTTCTTAAGGCCTTTGTGAAACTGTCATGTATTGAGACATCTGTGTTGTGGCAGTAATTACACATCACGCGTCGGCACTTACTTTACAAACTACAAAAAGTGTCAACAATTTGGTTGTTGGTTAGCAGGCGAGCTGCAGAGACTGAAGATTTTTATCAGTCCAGTTTCGTGTCCCGACGCTGATTCCCTCTCCTGCTTCATTTCTTGTAGTGGTCAACAAATAAACTTTTTTAACAGATGCAATACAACTTAATGAAGTCAAATGATGCACTTACCAATCCAGGGGTGTTCAAACCTGCACCTGGAGGTCCGACATGCTGCAAAGCCTGACTCAACTTGCCCCAACACAACTTCCTGAAAGTGTCTTGTGATCCCGAAGCCCTTGATTAGCTGGTTCAGGTGTGTTTAAAGGGGTGGTAAACTGCCCTTTTCACAAGATGTAAAATAAGTCTCTGATGTCCCCAGAGTGTGTATGTGAAATCATGTGATATCCCACAGATATTTTTTTATGTTAAAATTGTCACTTTTTTGGAGGGTGAGCATTTTTGTGTGTGTCCCTTTAAATGCAAATGAGGTGCTGCTCCCGGCACAGAGGGCGGAGCTTCAAGAGCTTGTGTGTGTGTGTGTGTGTGTGTGTGTGTGTGTGTGTGTGTGTGTGTGTGTGTGTGTGTGTGTGTGTGTGTGTGTGTGTGTGTGTGTGTGTGTGTGTGTGTGTGTGTGTGTGTGTGTGTGTGTGTGTTGAAAATTTCAAAAACTTTTAGTCTTTTATGTTCAAAACGGAGTCGGGCAAAGATGGAGAGACTCAAGAAGAAGTGACAACGTTTCTGAATGGTTAGTTGATGAATGTATTTTGCTCATGTGGAGTTAACTATCTTCAAGTCATTGATTAGCATATTTCGTGTAGTCTCCAGCCGTTTGTTGTAGTCCTTAATAAACGATTTCTGTAAAAGAGAATCTCCCTTTGCTTTGAACTGTGAGCGTCGTAACTTTGCAGATGTTGTTTATGCTCAAACAGCAACATTACACACTGACTAAAGTTAGAAAAGTGAAATCATAATCAGCCACCCCTTTAATTGCTGCTGAAGCTAAACTGTAAACTGGAGCCCTTCAGGAGGAGGATCGGACGCCCCTGTGTTAATCGGGGGTTTTCGGCCAATGCCATCTTCTCAAAAGCTTGGCTGAAAAAACGGTTTTATTCATCTCTCTACTTTCACTTTGAATAAAATTACAAAAAAATCTAAAATATAATATGAACTCTTCAACAATGTGGTTTGTATATGTTTACAAGGATGCTTTTCGGTTTGAATGATGCAACTGTGTAATCTCTTTCTCAAAATTGTTTTTTTGCTTCAGATATCAAAGGACCTGAAACAGTACGATAATAAAATAATCGAGTGCACGTTTGTCAATAACACCTGGGTGTTCATGCGGCAGAGGGTTGACAAGAGCTTCCCCAACTCATATGACACAGCCATGGGTAAGATTCACACGTGTTAAACTCTAGCCAGGGTCAAGCTCAGGTTTTGATCCGCTGACTAGATGAAACCATACTCTTAAAGCTAGAAGTGCAGTCAAACCTTGATGTATTCAGACACCTTCAACATTTCTCACATTATCACAGTGTATTCGCTATAGTTTAGAAAATGGTAATAAATTATGACAAGAACTCAGTTATCAAATCAGTTGATATTTCACTGGTCCTTCTGTTAGACTATCTCACAGATTAATAAGGTTGAATATCTGTCAGCTGTTAAATTTAACTACACAATTAGATAATATCAGTTTAGCTCAACCGATTACCAAGCAATGCTTCATGTTGTTCACTCTGTGGTGTAAAAAGGTGCATTAGCAATTATAGAAAAAACACTTCAGCAAAACATGGTCAAGTCAAAGTGTCTGAATAATTTTTGGTCCCAAATTCTTATTAATTTTACTGGTAGTCACTGTATGAAGAATATTTGGGTATAATGTCACAGTTTACTTTATTTTGTTATCCTCACTTACATAAATGAACTATAGTGTCCTGCACCCACTAGTAAAAAAATATTTAAAAAATTATATCTGGTGTCTGAATCATTTTTGGTTTAACTGTACTCGCAAGCCATGCAATATAACAGAGTCAGTAGCACCTCATTGCAGTACATGAGATCCAGGGGGCGGAGTTGGATCCAGATCTAAGGGGTGGAGATGGGTAGGATTAGGGGTGGGGTTAGGGATCAGGGGGCGGAGATGGGTAGGATTAGGGGTGGGGTTAGGGATCAGGGGGCGGAGATGGGTAGGATTAGGGGTGGGGTTAGGGATCAGGGGGTGGAGATGGGTAGGATTAGGGGTGGGGTTAGGGATCAGGGGGTGGAGATGGGTAGGATTAGGGGTGGGGTTAGGGATCAGGGGGCGGAGATGGGTAGGATTAGGGGTGGGGTTAGGGATCAGGGGGTGGAGATGGGTAGGATTAGGGGTGGGGTTAGGGATCAGGGGGTGGAGATGGGTAGGATTAGGGGTGGGGTTAGGGATCAGGGGGTGGAGATGGGTAGGTTTAGGTATATGTAAGGTGGGAGGAGTTGGATCTGGATCCAACTCCTCCCCCTGGATTTCGTGTTCTGCAGTGAGGACCATCTCAACAGAGTTGGATGGATTGTTTGCACCATTAAACCAAAGGTTGTTATTCATATAGCTAGCTATGAACCAGTTGACAGCTCCACTTGCTCAGCCAGAATCTTTGAGGCAAACTCTGCTGAAAGCCCAGTGTGGTTGGTTGTTTTTACCTGTGTCCTGTTGTCCCTCCAGCTGTGTGCAACAGCATCCAACACCCCGTCACAAAGCAGATTCTCTTCGAGTTCCTGGACCGGTGCGCTCAGATGCAGGCCCGCAAGCACCCGGCCGACTCCGAGCTGATGCCCCCCCCGCCCCCGAAGAGAGCCAACCACAGCATCCCGCAGTAGCGCAGCGTCATCCCGCGGGACACAACTCTACCAGTTTGATATTTTTTTATTCCCAAAATGTTCCGCAGCTCTGCCGGTCCACGCCGCAAGAGGAGAGACTTTTGCAGAACGTTGTGTTTTTTGGCCTGACTTTGGCTTCTGATCTTGGTGATGTTGACGATCTATTTAAAGACACTGTTGAGAGAGCTTGTTTCAACATTGAGTGCCGAGGCACGTTCTTATTTAAAAGAATAAAAATTCAAATGAATTGCATTGTTTTTCTTTTTTATGTTCTGTATTTGTTACAGGCGCTCCTTCTCTCTGCATTGTTTTGTTCTGCAGCTGCTTTTTTTACTGAACAGAACCGTAAAGTGTGCTTGATTGTCTAGATTCAGACCTGAAACACTGAAAACACTGTGGACATTTCCCCAGACCTGTAAAGCATCAGTGAAGCATAGGATCATGAGTGTTTTGTATGTCATTTTGCTCATTTGAAAATGTCGCCCCAACCCCTTTTTTTCTCAGGTTTTGTTTCTTAAAAAATGCCAGGTGTATTTAAGTTTTCCTGGATCTTTTGGCTCATTGTTTTGGAGAATAAAAAAAAATATTAAAGCAATAAATCCAAAAATAAAGATTGCCAGGTTCCAATACCTTCACATACAATGCATTACATACAACGGATTGATACACAATATTTCTGCTCAGTTGAAATGGGTACGTTTCAAACAACTGATTGAAACCAGTTGTGTCTCGTGTCCGTATTGATTCTAGGTCATATGACACGAGATCATTTTAGCTGAACTCAACATTGGATTTGTCGCAATTCTTGTTCTTGTCATGTGTGAACATCTCAGCGGTTGTCACTCGTAATTGACCTGTCACAGCTAAAGTTGATGGCATTCTTTATTGCTCTCACACATCTCATAGTGTTTACAATATTGAAACCTGGTGTGCAAAGAGCCGATCCACACGTCTGAGAAGAGCTGACATTATCCCCGTCTCTGGAGGAGTGAGTCACACCTGACATTCACGTCTTCCTCGCTTCTACGATTGTTTCCTCATAAGACAGATGAAGAAACGCGACACTACGAGGCTGTGTTGAGCTCATCTGCATGCTGAGGTGATTAGACCGTGATTGCAGCACATATTGCACTTCTGATGGATTTATGATTCCTCATAGCGCTCATGATGAGAATGAAGACGAGCAGCATCTGGGTGATGTAGAGGAATGCAGAGCAGAGACGTTCATGAAATCAAAACTGACCCTATTAATAAATGTCTCTGGTCATTAATAAATGTCTCTGGTTATTTTAGTGACAAAAGGGACAAAAATCTTTGTAGACTTTGTAATGTAATAACTTGCTTATGTCCTTGTTTAAGTGTGATTACACTGAAAGTACTGAGTAATATTCAACAACATGTACTTACTATATGGTATGAGGGTTTTTTGACAATAATTATTGCAGTCAAATAGTTTTTAAAAAAAAAAGAAGCATCAACACAGGGATACATGGCCAATCTTTTTTGAATAAACGACCTTCAGTCATGTGACAACTCTTGACTTTGAAAAATGAACTTCTACCAAATCAACAGATATAAGCTGCTACTTTCAGAATGTCATTAATAATGCAAGTTTTTTCTCATTAAATCGTCTAATTAAAACATAAAACAATCTGTCTTTAAGAAGTGATCATATTCCATTTATGATAGTTTCACTAAATAATTAGGGATTGCAAAAAATACTAAGAAATAAAGGGGTTCATGCGTGACAAATTTGGATACAAAGACATGTTTCTGTTAAAGCAAAAAAAATATAAAAATAAGCGTAGTTCTGAAATGTCCATGTGTGCTTCTTTCATTCAAGTGCAAATACATGTTAAGTAGCCTGAGGTCGCAACTTCCACAGACTTACAGCAAACTCCCACACCAGCACAACAACTGAAGAATGAAGGAATAAGTGCAGGCAGTGACTCCGCGTGTAGAGGAAGAGGAAGGTGAAGCCTGCGCTCGCGGCCACGTTTCACAAACACGAGTTGGCCGTGTGACGTTTAGTTTATTTTCTCGAAAGTACGAGTGGGAACAATTTAAATTTAAATCAAGCGTTGAAAAATGTTAAACACAATACTGACTAACTGCAAATGAGATATTTGAAGACAGAGTGGAGATAGTGCCGTTTGCTGTCGAAACTGCATGTTTGTGAAATGCTGTGTGACAATGATTGTCATGGATGACTCTGATGAGATGTGCATCATGTGAATCCAAGGGCAGAAAAGAAGTCCTCTTCCACATTTCGGATACACTTTAAAGTGAGCTTGTTACAGTGTAATTATACATTCAAGAACTGAGTAATATTAATCACCATCTTGTACTTACAGGGTTAACAAGGACACTGTAATATAAAGTGTTACCAACTGAACACAACAGGGAAAGCAGGATTTTTTATATAATCTGAAAATAATCTTTTATATCATCTGGAATAAAAAGTATTTTGCATTATTACAATTTTAAAAAAGACTGAAATAATTAGTCAGAGATGTTCAAATTGCATCTAAAATTGCTTTCATTTGTAATGCTGAAAATGAAAGGTTGAGTTGAGCCCATTGCATTGTGGGATACCCTATGGGTTCTTGACTCAATGTTAAAGAACCCTTTATGTCAAAAAGGTAAGGAGAAATGTCTAAAATCAAAATGACTGCATAACTCTTATTTTTTTATTTGTTTTGTGTAGTGATAAATAGTGATTCATTATGAGCTTAATTTATCAAATATAATACAAAATTAAAAATGAACTAAAACTAAATCCATAAAATGATCCCATGGAAACCCCTAAAGACTCTATAGACGCTTTTTCTTCTGAGTGTACAGATAATCTGCACATTATGCATGTTGCTAAAATAATGGCTGCATTGTGCACAGCTCATCTGAGTCTCCGGCTGTATTACAGCGGATGAGCTCTCCAGTAAACCCCCATCATGCACTGCGGCTGAGCAGCTCAAGCTCACATGCGTTTCTGTCCTCGCATCTTCATAGATTCAGACACTTTAACACTGATGTCAATGTTTCCTGCGCTCAGTGTCATATCTGACATCCGCAAAGAATTACGAAACAGGGGATCTTCGAACACATCTGACTCATATGTTCTCTTTGCTTGTGGATTGTGTGTGTATGTGTGTGTGTGTGTATCCATACACTGTCTGAAGGATCACACTTTGGATATTGAAATATCACTAAACTATCTTTTGTTTTGCCAGTGTTATCAAGTACTGTATATTAAATAATTTTTTTTGCTGTGTTTGTATTAAAGGATACTAAGGGCCACTAACAGCTTCTCAAACCCTCTTTTACCGTTAAAAATTTGATGATCCTCTTGATGGAAATAACATCACAACATTTATGTCCATCTAGAGGAGCATCAGTGTTTGGTGAAGATCTTGTATTGTCAGTGCAAGAGTCCAGCTCTCTGTAAAGTCCAGCACATCCTGAAGACTTTCCCTGAGTTTAAGATCTGGACTCAGAGGAGCATCAGTTCATGTGTGGAAATGATTCTTCATCTTCAAGCTCCTCACAACCATCCTTTCACAATCTGAGCCGGGTTAATCTTCATGTTGTCATCCTGGAATATGATCATGATGCGTTTCATACATGGTTGTTTAAGAAAAGAAGAGCTACACACTCCATCAATCAGTGTTAGAAGAACTGATGCCAAACATGCTGGAGACATCATAATCACAGCAATAATGATCCAGTCAGAGACTCTTCAGCATTTGCCCATTTAAAACCCAACAGTGACTTTTTTTGGCCGGGCAGAATGATATTTTGCTGACAGACTGACAGTGAGTGTGTGTGAGCTGTAACACTGACTGGTATGTTGCACGGATGCTGGTGACGGCGTGTGACGGATGGAGGAACAGCATCTAGATCTCCTCCACGTTCAGCTCGACCCCGGGCCACATGGAGAGGAGATTCTTCATCATGAAAAACAAGTGCAGCGAGTCGAGAAACAGATGCTCTGCGGTCGCTGTGAACTTTAATAAACCGTGCTTTCAAAACTACTCAAGGACAAACACGTTCTTGCTGCTGTGAGAGGTGAGAAAAACGTCCACATGGAGAAATGAGTGGAGCTGTGCACCTCAAAAAAAAAAATATATATATATATGGTCCATATTCATTCATTCGTGCTATAATTTAGGTACAGTACAACATAAATTCATGTGTGTAATGGTGTGTGACACTGTAGTGCATTCAATTCATTTATTTGTACAACACATGCTATGTCATATATAAGCTAAAAGTGATGGCATTAAAATGCTTTTTTAGCATTTAATTCACTCAAAAATCTTTTTTTACTGTCCACACAGCAGACATAGCATGAGACTGTGGAGCGTTTCAAATGTCACCAGTAACCAATGCTTTAAGTCGTGTTCACACCGCGTGTTTTAGCCACGATTTCGTGAATCCTAAAAGATTCGTCTGATCCCAGGCCAGAGTCTGTAGTGTTTGATCACTAGTTTGACATGTTCGTGGAAAGCCGATTAATGACTATTGCGATCAGAGTTAACAAATGCTGAGAAGTGCACTGTAAAAATATCATATGATCAAAAGTTGGCAACATATGATTTTGCATTGCTTTAACTCATCAAAATAAGTTACGCAATTTCCAACGGTGTGTTTTCAAGTTTAAAGATTCAAATCATTTTAAAGTCAATTAAAGTTAGAATGACTTAAGCATCCTTAAAAGAACCATTTTTTCTTTTTGTGAAGAACATTTTTAATAACCTAAGGAACCTTTTCCCACTATCAAGCACGTTCTGTCTAATGGAAAGATACCATGGATGTTAAAGGTTCTTCAGGGAACCGTCATTGCCAATAAAAGCTTTATTTTTAAGAGTGTACAGTGACATGTCTTACAGCTGGAGTCATGTTCGTACAGTGTGACAAGCAACAATCATAAAAGGACTCAAATAAATTGTAGTGTGAACCCGGCTTTACTTAAATTTGAAAAGGTCTATCCCGTAGGAAATAAACCACATACTGTAGAGAAGATGGAGGTTAACCTATTCTGTTTTTGGTTAAAACTTTTTTGTTGAGATGACTCATGACAATTTTGTTCTTTTGTTCATGACTCTCAATGGGTCTCATTCATGAAACATTCGTAAATAT